TGATCACAATATTATTAAACAGGATACCCTCAGTGTAATCGGTAATATACCATGACTATAATCAGTAATAAGATATGCCATTAGTAAAGTAGCATGTGATCACAATATTTTTAAACAGGATACCCTCAGTATAACCAGTAATAATATACCCGCAGTATAATTGGTAATAAAATACCATGAGTAAAGTAGCATGTGATCACAATATTATTAAACAGGATACCTTCAGTGTAATCGGTAATATACCATGACTATAATCAGTAATAAGATATGCCATTAGTAAAGTAGCATGTGATCACAATATTTTTAAACAGGATACCCTCAGTATAACCAGTAATAATAAACCTACAGTATAATTGGTAATAAAATACCATGAGTAAAGTAGCATGTGATCACAATATTATTAAACAGGATTCCCTCAGGATAGTCAGTAACAATACACCATGAAAAAAGTAGCATGTGATCACATTATTAAAGAGGATACCAGCAGTATAATCAGTAGTAAAATACCATGAGTAAAGCAGCACGTAATCACAATATTATTAAACAGGATACCCCCTCGTACCATAAGTATAATCAGTAATAACATACCATTAGTAAAGTAGTACATGATCACAATATTATTAAACAGGATACCTTTAGAATCAATGATATACCATGAGTATCATCAGTAATAATATACCATGAGTATATTCAGTAAGAATATACCATGAGTAAATTAACATGTGATCACCATATCATTAAACAGGATACCCTCAACATAATCAGTAACACTAGTAGTAATCAGAGATTATGAGAGTGCGTTCGACGCTCTCACTTTAATATATACATACTGTAAATAAATGATTTCACCAGCTGACTTTTAACCTTTGTCCATTGCTAAAATCAAATTTTTTCAGCAGCAACTGAGGTTTTACAGTCAGACACATGTATGCATAGTGTCAAAGTCCATGCTAGTGAAGAGGTCACAATTTGTTGATACGTTGCGTGACGCTGCCAGTTTCTGTAGACTCAAGTTTCATAGGATATTTAAATCACGTACATTATTCTAAGCTAGCGTTTGCAATTGCGAGCTCGGTTCACGTGGTCGTTTATCGTAAACAAACTCAGTGCGACTAATTCAAGTCTTTATCCAGTCGAAATTTTATTGTTTGGAATCAGTGGAAAAGTACTCTGAAGGCAAGACCTATAAGACTACTTTATTCATCAGGGGAAATACTGAGCTATCTGTCGCGACTGGAACTAATCAATAAATGCAATCAAAATGTAGCTGCTCCACGGTTATCATCCCAAAGCCAAGTCGTTTTAATAAACAATGACAATTCCCTCAGATTTCGATAAATGCTCCTGTCAAAGCATTAAAAATTCGCCAAAATCTAACTCTGAGAGCACATAATAGCGAAGCGTACGGCAACTGAATGGAAAGAAGTCAAAGAAAGATCCATTGGAAAGACTAGCTCACATGTTCGCCACATGTCGTATCATGTCTTAGCATTAAACAGTACCAGTTTACTGGCCGTGACATGCCCCTGCAAAAATCAAGCGGGGTGGCCATTTTGGTGTCCTTACAGGAATGTGGGTTTTTTGGCCTAGGACAGTGCACAGGTAAACCAACTCCGGAAAGCCACAGGTCAAAATTAGGTTTGCGTTCCACTTCATCAAACGCAAATATACCATCAGTATAGTCCCTAAAAATGTTTCTTGAGTAAAGTAGCACGCGATCAGAACATTATTAACCGTGACATCCTCAGTAAATTGAGTAATAATATACCACGAGTAACATAGCACATACTTACAATATTATTGACCAGGGTACCCTCGGTATAATCCGTAATAACATACTACAAGTAAAGTAGCTAATTGTGATCACAATTTTATTTAAGAGGATACCCTTACAATAATCAGTAATAATATACCACGAGTAAAATCAGTAATAATGTACTATGAGTAAAGTAGCACAAGATCACAATGTTATTAAACGGGATTACCTCAGTATAATCAGTAATAATATACGATCAGTATAATCAGTAATAATATATCATGAGTAAAGTAGCATGTGATCACAACACTATTAGAGAGGATACTTTCATTGTAGTGAGTATCATTGTACCATATTTAAATAGTACACACTCGTACATTGACCAACAGTACTATCAGAGTAATCTGTGATATGCAGGTACCATTGCTAATCAAAGTCCCATGAGTCATTCAACTTGGAAAATGGATCATCTGTAAACACTGTGAAGTCTGCGAATTGTTAACATCATTCAAAAGTAAATTTTGGTCTATTACAATGCAAAAAGATTGTTTCAATATTTTTGCTTTATTTCGGCATCATAATCATGTACTTAGATCAAAACAAGTGGATGGCTTATATATTGAGGCTAATTTATGTGACACTGTTTAAAACATTCATGAAGTCATCCTAGTCCGAGACATTACCAGCGCTTCTATAAGATCAGCAAAGCGTAACTTAGCCAAGTACTGGATGGGTGGCCAAGTAATAAAATCCTGTACTACAGGTTCTCATTTTCTTTTCTGAACCAGGATGTACAAATTAACTCTCACCTCCCTTTTAATAAAAGGAAAATTAAGTTAAACTGCTTTTTGTACCAATAAAAATTCCATATTAAAAAACGCGACATTCCCTATGCCACATGCGTTACTGCGTTATTATTACTACACTTACTCAGGTTTCAAAAGGTTGAGTGAAAACATGCATAACAAATTCCTATTGTTGAGACGTTCTGTTCCTTAAAACTCACAGAAATAATCAAATGCAAGTTTCCATGTTTCTCTGTCGCATTACCCCTTTCTTACCATCTTACTATTTTAAATTTAAACTACTCACTCGATGAGGAAATAGTTTCACCTCCATGTGAAATACATGACAGTATGTATAACAAAAAATGAACTCCTTGAACTTTGTCATGACTGCAAAAAATCTTATACATTGGTCAGCAGATTTGATCACAAAAAGTCTACCAGGAAGCAAAGGAGTAAGGAAGGGGCGAAGGAAGGATCGAGTGAATCTCTCATTCACACCTACAACATGAATTTTCCAAGATAAAAAAAATTATTTTTATTACAGGATACAATCAGCAAATATAACTACCAAAATACACAGTATGCAGATGAACCAGAGTCAGTTAGGCAAGGTTTACTCTGTATGAGAATCACTCAGGCCATTAAAAAGTATGCATTGGCCATATTTACCGGTGACAAATTGAGGAGGCTCACATCAGCAAAAATGCACATTGAGCTTTCAATCAAAAACAGGTCAGACCATCCTTAATAAGGGAGGTCCTCATCAAGGGGTTCTGTCCAGTTGAGTTCCACGATATCACGCAAGATCCTCACAGTCTGAGCAATAACATTCTACATGCACATGCAATCATTTAGCAGGAATGTCTCAGTATAACCAGTAAAATAGAATATTTAACTTTTCCCAGAAAATCAATTTTAACGTATTATTGATTCAAAAAAATCTATCAATGATTAGTAAAATGGTGCAAGAAGATATAATAATTAAGCAGGATCATACCCTTACCAGGATACTAACCCTATCCTACATCTTTATCAGTGCAGCTCTAATATAGCCTAACCAGCCCAAACTCTCTCTCACACACACACATGCTTTAACCCTCATCCTTACAGGCAAACCCTAGGCCAAAGGCGTAGCCCACATCACTAGTCCCAACCAACCTGTTACATCTTTCCCTTCACCCCAACCAACCTAACCTCTACCTACATCCCTAACCCTCAACACTAAACCCTATTCCAAAACATTAACTCCACCCCATATCATATCCCTGTTTGAAGCCTGGCCCAGTTCCCTATCCTCAACCCTATATTATTTAGTAAATGCTCTCTACATGCCGGGAATTCTTTATTTGTCTATCCATTCCTTTTCATTTACACTACAGAAAACATACATGTTACATCAAATGCTTGTCATGGCTAGCCTCCTTTTTGGCCATACCAGAGCTATATCCTGTAAGAAGTCAATAGAAAGGCAACATAAGATTATAAACAACAAATTGAGCAATTTCTATAAGCGCTAATGCTTGGAGCAAAAATGAACAGTTCGGGTACACAACTAATACAACGACCTCAGGTAGTGTGTATCTAATGAAACAAATTAAGGAGCTCTTTCAAAGGATTTATATTGTAAAATGAAACTCTATGTCAATGCAGTTGTGCCTCATCTGTGATGCCATACTGCTCCATCCTACAACCTTTCATGCAGTGTTTGTTGTTCAGTTAATTTAATATATACTTGAAAAAACAATACACAAAACTGATAAATGAATTAGAACTAAAAAAAATTTCTAAGAACATACCTATGGTAGGGTGATTTACTTTGGTATCCAAGAGTTGGCAAATCTATGGCTGCATACAGTTCTAAAACAATCCACTTGGATTTAAAAACAGTTTTCATTAGACTTAATTTACTTGATGTCAAGAACAAAGGAGCTTTAAACTTGATAACTTTTGTTGTCCTAACATTTGACATTCAAACAGAAAGTGATTCTGCTGTAGTAAATGTTGACAATTGTTAAAAGTTACTGTCAGTCATTTAGTAGGTTGTTGGATTGCTTGGTCAATAATGCAAAAGAGTTGTTATTAACTTTATATAGTTTTATCACACTTCTGGATATAGATATTCTCTATGTACTTCACCTGTTCAATCAATTCATCCATTGTGTCATTCCTATATATCTCAGAAGAGTCACACCTGCAACTGCAAGTTGGATGTACACCTTAATCAAAGACAACAAAAACTGACATTTTACAGACCATAAATGACTTAACTGACCACGACTGTGATCAAATAAATCACCCTCCTAAAAAATTCTATCTCAACAATAACAATTAAATCTTCTACTAAAGAACACAACAAAAAAAGGTTGTCACAGTTAACTTTCTATATAAATTTGGGATTTGTGATATTGTTGGTTAAGTGAAGAAGAAATCTTCACTTAACCAACAATATAGAGACGTTAGCTTCAAAAGTGTTCCCGACACTTATCCGCATCACTTTAATTTCACGATTTTTTTTTTAAATCACAAAATTCGCAAAGTTAACGTGTTGCGAAAATTTCAGGTGGGTCCAATAACAACAGAATTAGTAGCAGGACTTGAAAGCACAATGCAAGCCACTGTCTTTAATACCTAATGTTGGTAATTATACTGTACTTAAACTAGTTTCAAAAAAGGTCCAGTTNTCGCCCTCAAGGGCCACGGGTCAATAGCCCATTCGGCTTCGCCTCATGGGCTATTGACCCGTAGTCCTTGCGGGCTACGGGTCTAATTGTTAATTAGCTCTAGTGCGACCTGGCCCTTAATAACCAAAATGAATTGAACACCATCCTGATAAGCTTAGTGCAAATTATTAATGATGCAAAAACCATCAGCCACAAGACGCCGAACATACAAGTTAAATTCTGGCTAAAATGCCAAAGAAATAAATTAATGCTGGTCATGAAGCAACAATTTACAAGGCAAAAAACCTGTTACGTTGTATCAATGAAACGCCACAGAACTCCAACACGCGCGTAAGCTTAATAATTTGTAAGCTTCAATTCAAGTGAAATAGTGCTTCACATGAAGTTGTGCCGAAAAACTGTTCACTCACCTTGCAGTGTAACCTACGAAGAACCACGAAGTGGAGTGTAGTAACAAGATTTGAACGGCTAAAGATGTTAATGACCACGCTCGCTTGCAAACAAGGAGCGAATTCGAAGAAAATGCTCAGTGAGCTCTGGGAATGACTCGAGTGTGTCCTCGAGTGTCGACTCGAGTGTAGTTTCACACAGACCGCTGTATTCAACAACCGTGTTTTGCTGGCGCAAAATTCAAATTTGCCGCGTTTTTGACGCGACTCAACGACTGAAATTCTGACTGAGGGTCCGGACTTATATTTTAAGAGCTACGAAATAAAATTACATCGAAATTAAAATTCTAAGCAAAAAAATTTATAAGAAGCTTAATCTCCATAAACGACATTATAACAAAGGACAAGAGCTTTGGCGCAGTTCAAAATGGGCAGGTTCAAGCCAAACTTAAAATTCTCAGTATCATGTGTATCACTCGTATTTGTGATATAAACTTTTCGAGCATAACAAGAGCTTCATCGAGAGCTAGAAAACATATCACTTCTCCATCTAAGAATATCATACTATTAAACTATTTCAGAGGTGTGCATGTAGACGAATAACGACCATAGACAAACGCTTCATTGACCACGCAGTCGGCAAGGCTGGGAAACGGCTTTAGCCTTCTTACCTTTCCTTTCTAGAGTATAGGTTTTTGCACTTTCCACAGGTTTGCCAACTGAGATGCTTTTTTGTATCTGCTTGAATCCATGTTCACTGTGTTCTTGGTACGGCAAGCTCGGACAAAAGTTGAAGCCAGCTCGTTTCAGAAGAAACGAGAAAACATTTGACAAGAAATTTGCATGGGAGCGTGCACACGTAAACACGTGCACAAATGGTAGGTGAGCGTTCTCTAGGTTTTTCACAAGCCAATCATTTGCAGGCAGAAATTTATCATGTGTCACGGAAGTTTATAAACAAAGACCAACACGATCTCACACTTGCGGAGAATAGTCGGAAACATCCCAAGTGTTTAGAAAAATACGCAGTATCAGGAATATCGTGGAAACGAACAATAGAGTCAATAGAGAGGGACATTTTCATACAATAAAGTCATTATGCATAAAGCTGGATGATTAGCACCACACTTAGGGCCTCTTAATTCATATGAGCCCGGTCAACTGGGCTGGCTCGGTTTCCGAGATCTCGCCCGCCACTCTTTCCTTCGTAAAAATTTCGAAGTGTTCAAATGAGAAGCCGGGCTGGTCCGGTTACCGGGATCTCGGTTTTGCGAACGAGATCTCGGTAACCGGGATGAAAATTTTCCCATATAAACACTCCAGTCTAGGTAACCGGGACGAAACTTCTTGGACAAAATGCTAGTATAGCCCTAGCCCTAGTTGTTCGAAAGGTGGATAACGCTATCTACCTTTCGAACAACCCGGGCTTTAGCTTTTCACGCAAACTTGAGCGCCAAATCTGTCTAATTCGGGCCAAAGAATGATAAACGGCGATTTTTCATTTCTCACAGATCGATAAACTGGAATGTATCTCTTTGTGAGAAAACTGGGCGGGCATTTTTTTTCCTTCTATGAAACAAATTACTGTTTTATACCGAGATGTCAACTTGTAGGTCGAAATGCAGTCAAATCTGGGAGAGAAATATAAAGTGTCTTAACCTACCTTAAATGCGGTTAACGAGTTATTACAGTGCCTGGGAGGTCCGCATAGTCAAAAACTGTGACCGAGGTCTTGAAAATGCTGCCGGCAGTATTTTCAAGTCCGAAATCACAGTTTTCACTATACGGACCGACCCTATTTTTATTATAAGCAGGCAAATAACATCACATCTAGACGCAAATAACGGCACTTTTTTATTAGCTATATCATCTCCTGACTACATTTACTCAATTTTTAGGCAAATAACATGTTTATTTTTTCCTGTGATAAATTGGCTTTCAAATGGGTTTGTCTGTTTGAATTGGCTTCCGTGCCGTCTACAAACCATTCGTAAAAAATCGTCGCAACGAATGAGTAACTCAGATACTAGAAAAATAATTAAAAGATGTATTAATTAAGGAACAGTTGTAGAAAATATTCCTTTTTTATAACGGAAATGAATGAACCTGTGATGGTGATTCAGGGGACTCTTTTCACAAGTAATTGCAAATATAGAGTTTTCGAGTTCACTTTTGTAGAAACTGATCTATATTTGTAGTCATCATTTTCTGACCCGGTGTAAACAGCCGTTGCTATGGCCGCTGTAATAGTAAAAAATTATACCCGGCCACTGTGTACTTTCCTTGAATTTCACACTCATCTAGAGGCAAATTCAGCAAGATCGTTTGAAAATGTTTTTTACAAATGTTCAACGGTTTTACATCTTATAGTTTCAAAAACATTGCCATTCTCCTGAACATCGTCATGTCTTATCCTATCGAGCCGCCACCTTAATCATCGATGAACGCGTAATAAGGCAAACGATTGACGTCGATTATCNGCCGCCACCTTAATCATCGATGAACGCGTAATAAGGCAAACGATGGACGTCGATTATCGCTAATTTGTTCACGAAAATAGATGAAAAAAAAAAAAAAAAACGACGATGGCAAGCCGCATTGGATAATTTCACCCGCTCCGGAACCAATCAGATTGCTAGAGATTTGTTGAATTGTGCCATGATCACGGACTGAGAAAAAAATAAGGGGTGAGAAGTAACAGCTTTCTCTCTTTACTACACTCCTACGTGTTGTGCGGCAAGAGGATCAAAAACTCCGAGACTTGCTACCGAAAAGTAACTCTAAAAAACTGCAAAAGTGGCACCAAAAGAGATTTACAAATGTCTCTCGCGACTAGAGATACGGGTCAGATACTCTGGAAATATTAGAACATGTCCCTTCAAACCAAATTAACTACTTAGGGACTGTGCAATAATTATCAGGAGGGGGTGGGGCTGTAAAAAACAGAGAGGGGGGCATCATGGAAACTGGGGGATATCCGGAGCAAACTGGGGATTTTCACCTCGTTTTTACTCAATTTAGATTCCCAGGTAGTCGCGGAATTTACATTTTTTCACGTCTTCGCTATGCAATGCGGGGTTTGAACGGGGGTTTGGCGGGGATTTCACTGGTGGTTTGCAGCTTCTTTTAGAAGACTGGGCTCAAGTTGTCTGTTCGCAAAAAACATGGAGGCTGAACAAATGACGAAGAAGGTATGATTTCAATCGTTTAATATCATGCTTTGACCTGACTTTAATGGTATGAAAAAAAATCCTGTGAAAGCTCCAGTTGTTAACAAAATTATAATCTATTCAATGAATTGTGCTTGATGCTTAGAGGACGGGGGAGTTCACTCTGAATATTTTACCCTCAAGACGGGGCTTTCGCTACATTTCACTGACAGTAAATCAAAAGTGAATGCCCCGGGCACACCCCAATTTTTTTTTTGGGGGGGGGGGNTTTGTAGTTCACTTTATTTTCCTATTGCATTTTGTAGTATCCTATTTATGCACCAGTCATTTGAACCCCCCTCCCCCCACCGCAATTGGAGGATATCCGGGGCAAACTGGGGGTTTTCACTTCGTTTCCACTTAATTTAGGTTCCCAGGTAGTCGCGGAATGAACATTTTTTCACGGCTTTGCTATGCAATGTGGGGGTTTCAACGGGCATTTAGCGGGGATTTCACCAGTGGTTCGCGGCTTCTTTTAGAAGATTGGGTTCAAGTTGCATGTTCGCAAAAAACATGGAGGCTGAACAAGTGACGAAGAAGGTATGATTTCAATCGCTTAATATCATGCTTTGACTTGCCTTTAGTGATATGAAAAATAATCCTGTGAAAGCTCCTGTCGTTAACAAAATTATAATCTATTCAATGAATTGTGCTTAATGTTTAGAGGGCTGATAGTAAGAGTGAATGCCTCGGGCACACCCCAATTTTTTTCTTTTGGGGGGGGGGGTGGATTTCAAATGACTGGTGCATTATGTCTCCTTCGCAATTTTGTTTAAATGCAATCAGAAAAGCAAACGAAGGACACTGCTGATTATCTCCGTTTTAGCTTTTTAAACCCATTAGATTAACATTGCGAACTCACTTGAGCAAGAGAATTTAAATCATGCGCCTTTGCTCGTTCCTTGACAAGGATCATCACCTCGCTCAACGCATCTTGAGTTGTTGTATGTAAGGTTTCTTTTGGACGACCATACTACAGTGTCTAAAACTAAGGATTAAATGAATATTAACCCAAACAATATAAGTTTAACAAATAGACCCTTTTACCGACACGGCGGCTATTTTGAAACATTGTTTCAAATAGCTATTATGGGACCCTTAGAAGGCAAATACATATAGCTTTGAGAATCCCATAATGTCTCTCAAATCAATAGAAATCAAAATGGCTACCATATCGATAAAAGGGTCCATTTAACAATTAGATTATGAGCTCGAGATTTCTATGAAGTGATAGTTGATGAGGCCTTCGGCCTCATCAACTATCGCATCATAGAAATCGAGAGCGAATAATCTAACTGTTTTAGTAGAGTTCTAACTGAAATGTCCTTCAAAAAATGATTCCAATTATTTCTGGTCTTAGTATTAAACTTCACGCCTTAGAGAATTCGCGAACACTGAATTGTCAATTTGAAATTTCCACGCACGCTTATCAGTTTCTTTCAGAAATTTCGAGCTTTTTTAAAATTCAAGGAACCGGAAATGTCCTCCTTTTAGTTTCCTCAGGAATTTGATTATCCATTTGTTTGTAAATGTTCTTCCAAAACTGCGGAGAAACGAGAAATGTTGCAATTTTTGTCGACGACACCAAGCCACTGCATACTAATGGCTGATAGTGTGCAATGGCTTAGCCAATCAGATTACAGCATTTGCATTAGTATACTAGTAGAATTCTACTAATGGTTGTTATAGTCCATCAAATATTCTCGCTGACGCGCAATTGGTCTAAACGCGTCACGTAATTGAATATGTCCCAGCTAAAACTGGGAAATATCCGAGTGACATTCCCAATTTTTAAAATTGCGTGTGTTGCGTCTGGACAAATATCAGCATATTTTCACGCCAGATGGAGGTCATTGCTTAAATTTTTTCAATGTAACTGTAAGTTTGATTTGATCCCACTAACGTACTGCAACAATGTGAATGACGAGAAATGAAGCATCTTATTTGAGTATTACATATCCTTCACGACTGATCGTCTTAAACGTAGTATACCTTGTGGTACGAACAAAGGAGCTAGAGTACATCGTATTTTCCACCTTCACCAACCATCTCTCAAGTATACGCATAATGGAAACAACATTATCGAGTATTGAAAAACAAAGCAAATTTTGGTTGTTTTCATTTACCTTTTTCTGAAGTACATTGTTGTGCAAGCCAATAGCTGGAGCGTCTTCCACTAACATTTCCATTACAGTACAAGTGAATGCGGCGAAAGACTCCTTCATAGCCAAAACGACTTCATAAGCAATTTGAATCAAAAATTTTAAACTGAGGATTTCGGCTTCTATTGTTGGGGGGGGATCGATTCTGTTCGCACTACACCGGAGGTTTGAAAACGCAGCTTTATTTCTACGGTTAGGCCTGCCGTCCAAACTAATCCGTCACCAAAACGGAGCTTTTCGAAAACAGTTTTGAAAATGGAACTTTTGGAAAACGATGACGTCACGATAATCATGTGATTTCCCTGACTGAGTTTTCTCAAACACAAATCCAAAATGACCGGTGACTGTTGCGTTTTTAAATTCCTCCGGCGCAGTGTGGACGGAAAACATTTGATGCGTTTTCAGAGTGAAACCTCCGTTTTCAAATTCCTCCGGCATAGTGCGGGCAGAGCTTGAGTTCGTCTAAAACGTAATGTCCAAAAACATGCAATTCAATACTCAGAAGATACTATATTTATTGCACTTGTCTGTTGGTAGCTGTTCGCATGTGTTCCACATATGGTATGTGTTCCACATATGGTATGTAGATTAGCTCAGCTATCCGCGGGCATGTTATAATTGTAATTTTAATTTGATAACAAATAAAATGTATGTATGTATGTATGTATGTATGTATGCTCTTTTTTTATCACCCATAAAAAACAGCACATTAAATAAGCCCTCTATGATGTGACATTATATACCAATAATTACATATGGATTAAAATATTTCTTTACATCCTCATTAAAAAATTACAAGTCAATTATGACGTCATTGTATACGGAAGACGGGCCATAATACAACCGAGGTTTAGCAAACCATCACAGCAACCAGTACGCCGATGAACAAAATGTTTGATGAGCAGTACAATCGCTTCGCACGTGCGTTATAAATCTCGGCAGTTTTCTTTGCCATCCTCTCCAAAACAACTCACAACTTTAAATGACCAAATTTTGCATATTTCAGAGATGTTAACCGGTAAACTAACAGCCCAGTTCTCGACTAGGTGAATGGAGAAATGATAATGACAATAACCACTGAACTAATTGAAATTGAATGCTATCTTTCTATTTTTACCTGGAGCTAGTTCTGAAAACGATAGGCCAACTAAATGCTGTCTACGAAATATAAATTGTGGTTCGCTAATCATTTTTTTTTATTATGAAGAATATGGAATACAGTGTCAAATTCGAAATATAAATTTTAAAAATTTTCCGTTGTGGTTCACGTTCTCCATACGTCAACGCAGAATTTGGTCATTTCACGTTGTTGTTTTGCAGAGGACGGCAAAGAAATGTATCATGAATTATAACGCACGTGAACAGCCATTGTTCTCCTCATTAAACCTTCTGTCTGGCGCTAGGTCGCCGTTGACGCCCTGGTTTTCTATACTCCCTACTATGTTTGTGTAAGTCATATGTCCTTGCCACATTTTTCGGCCAGGAAACACCGTAGTTTATAAAGACCAAACAGAACGGCTTGAGAGAGAGGCTGACCCACAAATACAAACCCAATTATAAGACCGCTTGAGAAACCCGGGGTTTCATTGTAATCTACGTATGAGTAAATGTAAGGTTCACCGCGAGCATTGGTGCCATCCGCTGCCCAAAAGATCACGGTCAACAATATGTAACAGACACCAAGTATTAAAGCGTAAAGAACATGGAGAATTCTCACAGGCGTTGTGCTGAGCATCAGGTCTCCTATCATGAAAACACAGTTCAGCAAATGGGTTGTCACATCCAGACCGCTTGTTTTCCCGCCAAAAATCAGTGTCCAGTACAAGAGAGTAATCAAAATGGAGGAATTAGCGGCCATGTTAAAGATTACCCATAAGCCCTTGTGATACCAAGACATGCTCACTGGTGGTTCCTCAAAGTCGTTGGCACCCAAGCCCCCTCCGCCCTCTGCGTCAATGTCTCGGTTTCCGGTAGCCTTCATTTGCATGCCAGCCACGGTGTTTGTCGCACCGCAATGATGGAGAAGGCTGACCACTGTAGCCCAGATGTAGTACAGCGTGACGAAGGTGAAGCCCCAATTGGTCAAGTAGATGAACCATTTCTCATCACCATTGGCCGGATGGAAACCACTGTATATGATCCAACCCAAGCAATACCCAGCGATAATAAACCGATATATTGTCACTACAACGGCTGGAAACCACTGGAGGAACAAAATAAAATCATTAAATTAGACTCCATCAAAACAAAATCCATCATTTACACTTTGATGGAACAATACTACTCTTTATTGGTTGATTCTACAAGTCATGGTTATCATAGCAACAGTAGAACCCATTGAAACACCCTTATTTCTTATGACTGAAAAACAAGCTCTGTGACCCCATCTTTTTATCATCAAATTGAGATCAGCATTTTAAAACACATTTCTTAAAAAAATTCAAGGGATTAGAGGTTCGTGCCTTCCTTTTTTCTCTTCTTTAAAAAAAAACAAACAAAAAGGAAAAATATGATTTCGATAGTTTTTCATACAATAATATTGTTATCGAAAACTAATAATAGTAACCCAAATAAAAAAAGAAAAAAATTTTCACCAATAAAGCAAAATGTTTATGTTTTGGGGAAAGATAAGTAAAAATAAGTGTATGACTGATTCTATGATTTTGCATATAGTAGGCATGGGCCACCATACACTACTTCATTCATGACTAGTTATCATTTTCAACTGATTTTAATATTCAACTTGTATATTGTCAAGTTATTGTCTATTACAGTCAAACCAAGTGAAGTGTACCCCTCAGAGAATTGATTATTTGAATATTGAACTGGCTAGCCGTTTCAAGAATTCAGTGATGAATTGATTATTTGAATATTGAACCTGCTAGTTGTTTCAAGATTGTAATTATAATGAATCGATTTTTTTACTATTGAATTGCATTAGCTGTATTCTCGGAACATCTAATGGGTTCAATATGTGAATAATCAATTCATTACCCCGAGTGGGTTCAGCATTCAAAAAAACAATTCTCTAAATAAATGTAATCTTGAGGGGTACACTTCACTTGGTTTGACTGCAAATGCACAACCATTGCTTGCATGACTGTAATCACTGTTATTAAATTTCAAAAGTCTGAATCCTACTTACAGAATTTTTTTTTAACTTTCTACAAAGTTGTATCTTAAAAGCTAATCATAAAAGGTGGGTTTGTTTGCTTAATTTTTGAATTATCAGCACTTAAAGTTAAAAGTTTAACAGGCTGCATTACAGGGGCAGATCTAGGGAAATGGTGCAGGAGGTGTGCCCCCCCCCCCCCTTAAGATGAAGCCTACTCCTTCATATTTGCTTTTAAAATTTGTTTACCTCACCACTCAGTTACATGATTCCTTAGTGGTGCTGATCTGTCAAAGTATAACAAGTGAAAAGTGGCGGAAACTGTTTCCAGCCCCTTTAAACATTTGGCCTTCCAAATTAACTACTTTGCTTCACATTTTCCTTTTCAAGTTTTAAGTTGAATAGAGCCATGTAGCCATTTGACTGTGGTCTAGTGAGCAGTCTAGCAAATGATTAATGAAGAGGTCAATTAGGTCTGTTTTCTTGGTTGTTTACCATTTACCCAAACAATCCAGAAATTTTGGATGGAATGTAAATGGAAAGATTAATTTTGTCTCCCTGAACGGAAATTTTCTTGGGAAAATGGGATTTCTCAAAAGGTAGACAAAAGTTCCCAAACAGAATTTCCAAATGGCAAATGTGCATTCCATTTGCTATTTTTTACTAGTTCCATGCTCGCCCTATAAGTTCCTATCTTCCGGGAAGAAGTGGTTGAAATTTCTAGTCAGGATTTGACAAGTCCCATTTACTACAACTGCCGACCAACCGGTTTTCCAAGTAAATGGTAAACAACCCATATGCTATTCCAATATGAAGTTGCATCATTAGTTTCTGACGAAACTGCTGGGCTGCATCAGCGGGTAAGTGAAACAATTACTTGTTTACTTGTCAACGTATTAGCCTGAAGTAAATAAGTATGGGTTATTGACCAAGTGTGAGGGTCAAGATGCTGGATATTGGCCAAGTTCTTTTTTTGCATGTTTATGGACCGAGATGGAGTCGAGGTCCATAAGCACACAAAAAGAGAACGAGGCCAATATCCAGCCATCTTGATCGAACAAGCTTGCATTGGTCAGTAAAGGATTTATTACATGGCTTTCGGGGAAATTTTTCTTGTGGGACAGGGCGGGTAGTCCCAAGCGGGCAAGATAGCTCGATCTTGCCCACTCCGGTAGCCAATCACAGTGCAGGATTTGATTCATCTTGCCCGCTCACGGAGCTGGCCATATAATAAAGGTAATTATAATGCCAAGCCTGCAAATAACAGTCAGTCATCAGACAACTGTCCGGTAAATTTGAGGTTTTGACAGGTAAAAGCTTAGCCTGGTCGGACACCCTGACCGGACATTTTTGCCACAATGAAAAATGTGTTAACTGGAAATTTGTGCAAGTGTTGTGAAATAACTTTTCAGTTGTAATTTGACCCAATTAAACTATTATCTAAATTGTATACACCACCCAAATTCTCACATTTCATTTATCTGAATGCAATCACTCCAAAATGCAACTAAATGCTTTTCTAGTCTGTGTGATCAAAAATCAGTTTTATAGCTCTGTATAGTTTTTTTTATGTCTATGGTTCAAACAAAGTTTCCATACCACAGACACGTTTTTGTGAAAAGCACAAATGTACAAATTAGTCACGCTTTGTAGTATTCCAATTTCATCTAATTACACAAAGTTTAAAAGTCAAAGAATTCATGTAAGCCAATTTTCAAGTGTCTGAATGTTATTTTGAGTTTTTATACGACAAGCTGTCCACGTGGGAGATCATTTCATCACTTTTCCGGTGGTTTTTCTTAGACATCGTGGGGTACTTGATATGTGGGAAAATACGGAATACATGTGTGATCAAATACTTGTGTTTCATAATCCACGAAAAAACACATTTTGGCAAAGGGTCTACACTGAAATAACAAAAATGTCTCATTTTTAATTTCTAATGACAAAAAAAAAATTTTTGTCCGACTAGAAACTTGTCCTTGGCCTGACAAATGACCTGCTTATAGACAAAATCATTTGCAGGCTTGTAATGCCGAACTGGTCTGTGATGAAAAGGAGAATTCTGACTGGCCCCTAAAAATGAAAGCTTCCTGGGCCATGACCCCCAAACCTCCCTCCCCTAGCGGCTTGCACTAACACTAAAAAAAATGTAAGCTTAACACCCTGTCTGGAAGATCAGGGTCTGAAATGTTAATTGATTGTATTAATGCAGTAATCAATGCTTCAGTTGTTTTCAAAATGAAATTGTTGCAAGCATCTGGTTTCTTGTCAAGGGCATCACTGAGATCTTTTTGGCCAGAAGTCACACTTCTAGTCAGGGAAATAATTTAGATAATTAGCTTAATGGTAAATGTCAATCTTTGATTTACAACCAAACAGGAGAAATTAGCCTAGATGCTGATATGGACTCAATTAATAGAGTACAGTCAAACCTCTACACAATGACCACTTGGGGACAGAGGATAGTGGCAGTTGTAGAGAGGTGGCCATTACAGGAAGGAATGGGTGTTAAAACAAATAAAAAATCAGTTCACTTGCAGGATATAATATAACCATCAATGCCAGAATCCATTCATAACAATCAGTTCTTACAACGACTTTTCAATTCATATCAATTGGTATCAACTGTTACTGGCTATCTGTTATCAATACACTTTTTACCATAGCTGCAGAAATTCTCACACGCTTATTGGCTAATTTTCATTGTCAATAAGGGGATAGACACGTGAATTTATAATTTATGCGAGAGCGGACATGTTTGACAATTTGTTATCGTAATTTAAAACAAATTGACGTCAGTTTTTAATGCGTCTGTCTTAGGCACCTATCAATGGTTTGCCCCAGGATGGGGGGGGGGGGG